AAACCTTGATAATGAAAACCATAAGACTATAATGGATGAACTGCCCAAGACAGCTAATGCCCAGCAAATATTCCAGGTGCCCCCACTTATCCAGCTCCCTTGGCAGTGATGCCATGACCCTGTGACAACAGAATATGAGAGGAAGTGATACATCTCTCTACTGGCTTCTAGAGAGAAATGCTTCAGACCCAGTCATCTCTTCTGGATCTGTTCTCCTACAGGGATCTTGGTGACCAGGGCTTCAAGCTGCTGTCAGGAAAAAGAATGGCTACCAGGCCTGCACAGGACTTTACCTGGGCTGGAGTAAGCCCTCATTGTGGTAAATCATTGAAATCTGGGATGTTTTCTGTTGGAGCAGTCAGTGCCAATTACTCTAATACAAAGGGCATTAAAGAAGACCCAAACATGGGGAGAGTTGTGTACTACAGGAATACAGGGTCTCAAAATGATGTTAATATAATCCAATCAGAAGTCCACCGGAATTCTTCATGCATCTCAACAAACTGATTCTAAAATGTCTATGGTAGCCCAAAAAGAGTAACATAGCCAAGACATTTCTTCAGAAGACTGTGGAGGACCTTCTCTACTAGACATCAACATACTTTATAAGGCTAAAGCAACTAAGACAGTGGAGTGTTTGGACAAGGATAAAAAAATAAGCTAACTGTATGAACTAGATGGTCCAGGGATTTAGCTCAGTGGCACCGTGCCTGCCTTGCAAGTGCAAGGTCCTGAGTTTGATCCCTGGTACCCTCCCCCCAAAAAAAGGAAAGAAAGAAAGAAAAAGAAAAAGTATGGACTAGGAGCTCAACACAGACCAGGTAAAATATATAAGAGAAGTGACACTACACAGTAGATTAGCCAAGGCTCAATTGATATGTGATGTAAGAATAATTGGTTGTTTGTATGGTACAAAAAGAAATTATGTCTGCAAACCACACCACGGGCAAGTAGGTACATTAAGGATTTAAATGTGAAAAGCAAAGCTTTGCACTTTTAGAAATGTGCAACATAGAACAGTATAATATCAGAGTATGACAGGTTTCTTAAGAAAAAAAGGCACTAAGGAAGTTCTAGAATTTGAAATATATCTCCATACATGACCTTATTAAAATGTAAAGCTTGTACTCATCAACACATACGTGCACACGCACACACACACATACACACACACAGAAAATATAGACCATAAACAGGAAGTTATTTGCAACACATACTGGATAAAGGATTTTTGTTTTCCAAGTATGTTATGTGAGTGTACAATTCCTACAAATCAATAAAACAATAGAAAAATGGGCAAAATAAACAATATTTCTCAGAAGAGGAAATACAAATGCAAAATGAATATATGAACAAAGATTTAATGTTACTAGCAGTTAGGGATTTGCACATTAAAACACAATTAGGGAGCTCTGGGCTGGGAAAAATAAGGCCTGATGATTCCAATTATTGGCAAAAATGTGGAATAAGAGTAACTCTCATACGCTGCAGGTGGGAGTATAAATTGCTAGACCTACTTAAAACAGCTTGGCATTATCTTGTAAAGGGAAGATTAATTTATCCTATGACTCAATCATTCCACTCCTAGATACAGAGCTGAGAGACCCTCTTACACATCTTCAGTAGGAGCCCTGAACAAGAATGCTTGAAGCAGCAGTGTTTATCATAGCAAGACCTCGAATTGACTAAAACACTTCTGTCCAGAATACATGTGTAAGTGATGGAATATTCATAAACTGAAATGCTAGAGAACAGCAAATATGAATTAACTATATTCTATGGATCAACAGGATCTTGAAATTATATTACTGCATGAAAAAAATGAATACATGCAGCATGATACCATTTATGTAAAGTTTAAAAATTACAAATATAGGGCCAGGGATTTAGCTCAGTGGTTCTGCCGCCTGCCTCACAAGCACAAGGTCCCAACTTCGATCCCTGGTACCGGACCAAAAAAAAAAAAAGAAAAATTACAAATATATTCAGTGGTATACCAAGATGGAGGGGGTGTGACCTACCCCACGTACTGACAATAAAAAGATGCAATATTGCTGAGCATGGTGGCCTATGCCTGTAGTCTCAGCACTTGGGAGGCTGAGGCATCAGGATCACTGAGAGTTCAAGGCCAGCCTGGAACACATAGTGAGTTCAAGGTCAGCCTGAACTGCATAGTAAGACCCTGTCTAGAAAAAAGCAAAAAACAAAAAAAGATGCAGTATTTGTAAAGAAATTTAAAACCATAATAAAACCAACTAAAACTCAAGCTGATTTTTATTATCCCCATGCATCAGCAATTCTGAACAATATAACTGACCAAATCCTCCACTCACAAAGGCAAGTACTGTACATCCAGTCCCCTCTCCCCTACACTGGTAGGCAACTGGATGGATTGTTTAGGAACAATCTGTTGTCTGTAGTAAGGGAATAATTAAAACTCAGATGAGTGGTTTTCCTTGGAGCAAGGGGGATACAAGTGGGCAGTGGTACAGATGCTTCCATTTCGTCCACTCTTTTTTTTTTGGTACTGGGCATTGAACTCAGGGCCTTGCACTTTCAAGACAGGTGGTGGCTCCACTGAGCTAAATCCCCAGCCCCGCTTTATTTCTTAAACTGAGTAACTTTTTAAAAAGCTGAGAGGTTGTTTATCTTATTCTGATATCGTTTTTGTGTGTAATCTACCTTTGTCTCCATATATGAAATATTCTACCTTCCTGGGAAAGGACATGGAAGAAGCAAAGTCAGCCAGAGCAGCAGGTTGGAGAGGACATGCACTGTACCAGGAACTGCAGACTCCAGAGAATGCCAAGGCTGTGGTCCATTCCAGATGATAAGGGCTCCATGGGTAGCGGCCCAAGCTGAAGCTCAAGGGATGTTGGGGAAGTCAGGGACAAGGGGGAACTTGCCTCTGGAAGCATTGTGCAGTGACAAGATAGGGCCCATAGCCAGAGACCAAGGAGCATCAACCTTCTGGAAGAAAGATGAGCCCTTAAAGCTGAGTCTGGGTAGAAAGGTGAGGCAGTGAGGAGTCAGCAGGGACCCCAAAGCCAAGAGGGCCTGGCCAGCTGGGTCACAAACTGCAGACAGGACAGCAGCGCTCTGCTTCTGCCACCTGGGTCGTGAGGACCTTGCCTAGAGCCATCCCAAGGGAAAGGGGGGATGGAAATGCAGGAAGGGAGTCAGGCAAATTGTCAAGAAGTTGGGCTGAGCAGAACAAGGGGTGGCAGCTGGAATGAGACATGGAGCCAGGGAAGAAATTTACTAAACTTTCTAAAATTTATTTGAAAATTCCCAGGTTGTTTTAGTCCTACAGAGGTGGAAGGGGAGTCTCAGGCCTCCATCATTTTGACAGCCATAAACACAGTAAGTGTCCCTTGGAGGTGAAGCACAGAGGTAGCATTCAAGGGCGGGGGTTGGAAGCTGTCTGCCAGTTAGGAGGAGCATCTCATTACTGACACTGCCTAGAATTACTGCAATATGGGAATAAGGGAAAGCACACTGACACACGGTCACTCTCATTGTTTTGATTTTAATTTTCTATAGATGACACATCTGTATTGTCTGTATGGGGGACACCGCCCACCCTGTCTTTGCTTCGCTCCCAATGAAAAGGGACAGATTTGAGTCTCTAGGTCCCGAGTGTGTGTCCCGGCTCCTTCCATCTCGGCTGATGGGAATGGGGTCCTTTCCTACCCTTCCGAGTTTCAGTGTCCTTGTCTCACTGTAATTGAGGCTCCTTCTGCCCTTGTACAGTTGTTGGGAGGATGAAATGAGGTCACAGGAAAGACCCCAAGGCCTAGCATCAGTAGGCACTTCCTAAGTGTCCTTTTGGAAACAGGTACCTAGAAGACGGTGACTGGTACAGTAGCCACCTGCCCTGTGGTTGGGCGAGGACTAGCAGCTATTCCCTGGGCATCCCAGGCTTCTCACAGTGACTGACTGTTCACAAAACCTCCCCTGGCCCTGGAGGACAGGCCGCCGAGAGCTGGCCACTGCTGTCTCAGCCCAGGCTGCCCCCACAGTGGTTGGGTCTGTCTCTGCCTGTGCAGTGCCTGTGGGGTCCCCAAGGAAGCACCGTAGCCTGGCCACAGGGGGCAGTTGTCATGGGGATGTCGGGGCCTGCTGAGCTGCCTACCTTAGCAACGGGATTCCCAGGCTGGTTACCATGGAAATGGCCTTGACAAGTAGTGATGGGGAATGGCTGGCGGGTTCCCTGCCCTTTTCTGAGGACTTTCCCCTCCTCAGAGGGCGGGAGATAGCACTCCCAGCACTGCCAGGAGCCTAAGGACTCCATTCCCCAGCCCCAGGCAACTTGCCCTGCCCTGTGAGCTCCCAGGGTCTGCTGGGACTCTGAAGCCAGCGATGGCAGAAAGGGATCCTGAGGGACCAGACCCAGCAACTCCCCCACCAGTACCACAGTGAGGAGTCAGTGAGACCCCCTGCTCCCACTTATGCCCTCAAGCTACCAGTCCACACAGGCACCCAACAGCTGTGCCCCGTCCTCAGCCACCCCCATGAGGCCCTGCCCCAGCGCAGCTACCTTGTGTCCCCAAGCTACCCTCTCTTCTGCGGCTGGTCTGAGCACCAGGATAGCTGGATGAGCTCATAGGCATTTACCACCCTCCTCCTTCTGGCAGCTGGTGGCCTGGGAGCCTTGGTGGCCGGGGGCGGCGGGGGGGGGGGGCAGGAGTGCTGAGTCAAGGTCTCACAGCTCCCCTTTCCCCTGCACGACGGACACACACTTCCTCTCACTCTCCTCAGTAGCCCCACCAGCCTGTAAGCAGGTGCACACCTGTGTCCACACCAGGCCTCACACTCCTGTCCGCACCTTGGTGCTCAAAACACAACTCTGCATCCTTGGGGTGCACATCTACACACAGGTGTGCACACATGCTGGGGAGTGGAGATGTCCCTCTGCTCACCACTTCTAGGCTTCCTAGGCTCCAGGGTTCCCTACTAACATTACCCCCCACCCCCATCCCCTAGAAAAAAGCAGCATCTGCTGGAATTTTTTTATTTAAATAAAATATACAATACGGCGCATTCACCGTTATCTGTTTTAAAAGTGGAAGATTTGAAAATTGCTCGTGGGAGATGGGATGGGAGTGCCCACAGGCTGGACTGGGCCGCCTCACAGTCCCAGAGGAGTGCCTGGGGTGGGTCAGAGCTTTTATAAAATGCATGTGAATAGAGAAGAGGGTGACTAGGCCAGGCCCTGATGGCAAGGGGCTCCTCACTCCTTGTGGCCCGGACCCTCCATTTCCATTTCTGCCACCTCCAAGACTAGACCGGTTTGGATCAAGTCCTGCTGTCCTCTCTGAGCTGCCTTCCTTGGGGGTGGGGGAATGGGGCACACACAACTCAGGCTGCAGCCGTTTAAATCCTTGCAGGTCTGAAGGACTCCTGGGCCTACAAAGCTTCTCTAGTCCAGGAGGAACTAGGACCAAGGATCACAGAGCTTCGCCCCTTGTCTCCTGGGTTATTGCCTGCAGCCCCCCGGCCCCCAGCCCATCACAGAGAATCCAGCCTGCCTCACGTCCTGGGACGGTGCAGAACCAAGCCGGACTGGGCCAATACCCTGGCCTATTGTGAGCTCTGCATGGACATGGTAGGGTCAGCCCTCTGCGCTATTCCAGTCCTGCAGCCAGACCCACCTCTGCTTGACCTTGGTTCTGCGGGGGTCCTGCTGGGGAGGCCGGGAGAGCCCCAGGAGGCATCTGAGCTGCTTTTCCATGGGAATCTGCCTGTGGCTCCTGGTCGCCCTCAGAACCAAGCACAACTCACCCCCTTGATGTAGCGTGCTAGACCCTCCCTCTGACCCCCCAGCTATGGATCTGCTCCCAAAGCTGCTCCAAACCCCACATCCACCCAGCAACCTCTCACTGTGCGTTCCAACCCCCTGCCCCTCCTCCCTCCCTGCCCTCCTCCAGCTCTTCCACGTCTCAAGGTCTGGCCCAACTGCACCCCCATACCTTTCTTGGGCCCTTAGGGAGGTCCAGCCACCTCCTGAGTCCTGAGATTTTAAGTCTTGGAGCCCTCATTCAAAGCTCCCTGGGTTTTCACCATAGCTCACAGGAGTAATGGGCTGGGTACATGAGGAAGAGCAGAAGAAATGTGATTTATTGAGCACCTACTATGCTGTGTGCCAGGCACTGGGCTGGGCATTTCACATTCTTTTTCTTCTCTGGTCCTCATAGGTTTTTGTGAGGCAGTACCATAATTATTCTCATTTTACAAATGAGGTAAGAGACTCAGAAAGGTCAGATAACTTGCCCAAGGTCACACAGCTAAGTGGCAGGGCTGGAATTTGAACCCAGACCTAACTGTTGCTAAACTTGGATCTCTTCCCTCCACACCTTGCTTGGGGACCATCAAACACAGTTTTCTTTTTTTTTTCCGGTACTGGGGATCAAACTTAGGACCTTATGCTTGGGAGGCAGGTGTGGTGCCACTGAGCTACATCCCCAGCCCCGAATACAGTTTCTGATGGAAGGGACATAGGCTTTGGCTTCAGCCAGGATGGATTCGAACCTCTAGTCAGTCTCAGCTCTGCCACTGCTACTGCCGTGATTCTGGGAAAATTACCCCGAACTCAATTTCCTCATCTGTGAAATGGGGAGAATCAAAGTACCTACCTCACAGCCTTTGTGAAACTGAAGGAGTTAATGTGTAAAGTGCAAAACCAGTGCTTGGCACAAAGAGGACTCAATAAATAGAAGCTCCCTCGCCTCCCGCTGTGCAGCTGGGAAAACCAAGGGACACGGAGGAGACAGAGTGTGCTTGGGACCCTGGGAAGAGAGAAGCTCAGCCGGGAGTCTTCTGCTTCCACATTCAGAGAGGCTGGGCTGGGGCTGGGGCTGGACATGGGCCCCGAGATGGGAAAAAGGGAGCCTGCTGGAGGTCCTGGGGGTCCTCTTTCCTGAGGACTGAGAGAGAATGTCCCCCAGAGCCTGCAGCGCCCAGCCTGAGAGCCACGGCTGATTGCTGGATGTGAGGTGACCTGGGTATCCTGGCAACAGGGTGAAACTGGATCGCACACGCATGTGCGCACGTGTGAGTCGCTATCTACATGGCTCTACAGAGCGCTACATAGCTATACATATACACATCTTACATACATATACATAGACATATTCATATACATTATCTCGCTACAGTTACAGTAGAAAAAAACGCAAGGCCCTTGGGGCCCTGGCCCGAGTTTGTCCCTTGTCCCAAGGACTCAAGAGTCTGAGGGTCCCCAGAAAAACACCCAAGGCAGTCCCTTCCTGGAGTCCCATCAGAGTGGGGCTCCAAGTTCACACCCAAGGGGCTGACGGGAGCTCTTGCTCCAAAGTGAATACAATGACAGGTCTGCTGCAGGAACCCCAACAAGGGTCACCTCCACCCACCCCGCCCCAAAGTCCCCTCCTGTCTTCCTCCGGCTTCTGCCTCTGGGCCTTGCCTGCTCCCCCGTCCCTCCCTCCCTCTAGTGCTGAGTATTAAAATAGTCTATAAAAGCAAGTGACCAAAAATCTATAGCTCTAAAGAATACCTGGTTATTTTCTGCTGTCTTTTGTTTTTTCTGGGGTGTGTGTGGGGTTTTTTAATGATAATTATTATTGTTATTGGTATATCTCCTAATCACAGTTAAACCTGAAAGAAAGAAGGGAGGGGGAAGAAAGAGGGGAGGGAGGGCCCCACTCATAGATTGGACGGCAGTTTGGAACGCACTGGCTCAGACCTGGCCCCAGGTTCCCTCTGGGTTGCAGCAGTCAGAGGGGGCCCCCCAGAAGATGTGGCTCTTGCCCCAAACAAAGAAAGAGGGGGTGGCAGAGAACCTGAGGATGTCTTCCGAGGCAGGGTGACATGCTGGCCGGGTGTGGCACCAGGGGGCCTCCCAGGAGGACCAAGGCCCCCGCTGCCAGCCCCGGCCCTGGGGAAAAGCGGGAAGGCGGCCACAGACTCCCCCGAGGAGTGTGGGGAGGCTCGGCGGAGAGTCTGTGCCCCATCCTGGGGGAGAGCTGGCTGAGAGGCGGAGATGAGCCTGAGGTCCTGGGTGAGGCGGCCAGGGGTGAGGGGAGGTGTGCCCTGGCGCTGCGGGACCTGGGCTGGGGGAGGGCTGGATACAGGTGGCAGGAGCAAGGAGCCATGGGAGCCAGAAGCCCGGGGCGGGGCACTGGGGAAAGTTCTTGGGGGGCCTGGGCTGTGGCTGGGGGGACTGAAGCCTCCTCGGGGGGTAAAGGCTACCAGGGAAGCCCCCCCAGAAGGCCCCGCCACAAAGGATGGTCGCTCAGGCTGCCGTAGGGGTGTTTCTGGTGTACTTGGTGGGCCAGCGGCCAGCCCTGGGGACAACTCCCCAGGAGGCTGGCCCAGCTGCCCAGGGCTGGACAATGGGGACCTGGATGAGGGCGGGGGTGGCAGGAAGTGCTCCAGGAGTCCCAGGCCTCCCCGGGCACCCGGCAGCAGGGGTGGCAGCTGGGCGGCCTGTGGGGAGCGGGCGCCCGGCTGCAGTGGGGTAAGGAGCGGGGAGTCAGAGGAGGACAAGGAGCCACCCAGCGCCTTGTGGAAGTGGCCAAACCCAGCCGTGGTGGTGGCAGCTGCGGCACAGGACAGTGTGGAGGCTGGTGGGGAGCCACAGGCCCTGGGTGGCGGGGAAGAGCTGGAGGACGGCAGGAGGGGGCTCAGTCCAGCGGGCGCAGAAAACCCAGCCAGCTGTTGGATGTGGAAGGAGGAGGAGGATGGAGTGTCCACCTGGGACGGGCTGCTGGCGGGTGAGGCAGAGCCCAGTGCCGACGGGATCAGGGACTGCAGCCTCTTCAGATGCCTGGGCGTCTGCCCAGCCCCAAGGTTGCCTAGCCCAGGTCCTGGTGGAGGGCGGAAGATGGCAGCAGGCAGGCGAGGGTGGTGGGTGAGGGCGATGGCCACAGACGTGGTGGCGGCAGCGGCCTGCAGCGGTGCCTGGATCAGTGGAGTCCAGATGACAGGCGTGGGGGTCGGGGTGGCAGAGCCGGCAGCTTGGACTCGGTGTGCACAGTGGGCCATCTCACGGTCGTGCTGTACAATCTGCTGGATTATCTCATTCTCCTGGTAATTGAAGACTCCTGAGTTGAGGTCATGCTGGACTTTGTGGAGGAGGATGGAGTTCTTCTTGCCTGAGTCATAGAATAAAGAGCAGGCTCAGGCCGGCGTGGGGCCAAGGGGTAGGAAGTGAGTTCATGCAGTAGGGAACCGACCCGGCCTCACCGATGCGGTCCAGGCGGTCCAGTGCCACGGTCTCGAAGGCCCGTCGCATCATGGGGTACTCCTCCAGCACCTCGTTGAAGTTGTCCACACTCAGCGAGTACAGGCGGCAGTAAGTGTCGGCCCTCACACTGGCCGTGCGCCGGCCCCGGGTCAACAGGCAGATCTCTGCAGGGATATCAGACTCAGCAGGGCTCCCCCAACCTGATCTTGATTCCATCTGGTACAGAATCCTCTCGGGCTCACAAGACTTATCCCCAGGGTGTAGCCACACTGGCTGCAAAATAGGTATCTGACAATCTCCCGTCTGGGGCCACCCTTCTGCAGTGGGCCGAATGCCCCTCATTCCCTGCCTGGACTGCCTATGCGGAAGCTCTAATCTCAGTGTGATGGATCTGGAGATGCGGCTTTGGGGGGCGATTTGGTCACAAGAGTAGAGCCCTCAATTGGGATCACTGCCCCCAAAAGAGGCTGGAGAGATGGCGCACTATCTCTCGCCCCCTGAGGACACAGCAAGATGGTAGCCCTCTGCAGCCTGCAAGCGGACTCTCACTGGAGCTGACTATGCTGGCACTCTGATCTCGGACCTCCAACCTGCAGAGCTATGAGAGAAGAATCTGTGTTACAGCAGCCCTAATGGACTGAGGCACCCTGTGCTGAGCTCACAGACACCCGACCTCCAGGACCTTAGTGCCTCCATCTACCAGGCTTCTGTCCAGCCTCTTCCCCTGGTAGTGGCCCCTACTCCCCAGAGGGCCCTGGCCACCTCACCTCCAAAATAGGAGCCGTCAGCCAGCTTAGTCTCTTTGTTGCCCTTGGTGAGCACGCTGACCACGCCGTGCTGGATGAAGTACATCTTCTTGCCAATGGTGCCCTCACGGATGATGTAGTCCCCGGGCTGGAATACCTCAAAGCGTAGCTTGGTCAGCATGGATGTCACAAAGTTGGGGTCCGCGTTGGCAAACAGTGGCATGGAAGCCACCAGCTTCCGGCAGTTAAAGTTAATGATCTCCTGCTCCAAGGTGGCACAGATGGGGACACAGGAGGAAGGAAGTGAAGGGAGCTGCCCAATGGCCAGCCCCGGCCCCACCCCACCCAGGCCGCTGCCAGCTCACCTCCCGCAGTGGCTCGCTCAACTCGCCCAGAATGCTCTCTTCATCAAACATCTTGCCCTGGTAGCGGTGCTCATAGTAGTCGTGGATGCGCTGCCGAGTGTCAGGCGGGAGCTTGTGGAAGGACATGTACTGCTCCACCTGCTTATACTGAGGACAGGGACAGGAACAACATGTCACCTCCAGCAGCCCCATCAGGTGACCAGAGCCAGCTCCAACCCTGTGGGCTTTCTTGGACAGATAGGGGGTTCATCAGTGCCCAGTCCTCACTGTGCTTGGTACTGTGGAGATGGATAGGGGACCTGTCCAGAGCCCAGTTGCAGGATGTCAGCTGGTCAGGAAGGGGATCAAGTTTCCCCTGAACATCTTCCATTTCTGTGTTATACTGGGAACATTGACTCTGGAAGGGGAGGAGCTCTTTCCTGTCGGTGGCTGGTAACTTTTGAGAACAAAGCGGAAGCAAGGATGCCTGGCCCTTTATAAGGTAAGTATGTGCCTGAGACCCTGAGTCACCTTGTTGAGAGCAGCTCTAGCCCCAGGGGATACATGGGGGAGGAGGACCTTCAAGCAGAGGTTCAGGTGTAAGAGCTTTGTGAGCCTAAGTCTCCAGGGCTGAAACCAAATCAGGAATGGCCCTTCCCATCCTGGCAGAGAAGGCTAGACATTGCTCAAAGACCCCTGGATTATAAGTTGGGTGTGGAGTCCTAGGACAGGAGGACGAGGGACAGAATTGATTAGGCAACAGCAGACATTTCCCACACAGGAAGGAAGGGAAGTCCCTTTAGCCTCAGGAACCATGAGGAATAGGGGAGCCCGTTCTTCAGTATCAGGGGCTCTTCAGAGATGCCGATGGGCAAGTGAGGTCTGGGGCAGGACACTCCCCGAAGTTCTTGCAACCATCCTGCCCTCTGTCTGCTCTAAGCTGTGTGAATCCCAGGGATCGGTGACTTCCTGGCTGGCTATGGGGCAGAGGCAGCAGCACATCTGGAGCTGTGCTTTAGAGAATTCCCCCCATAGCAAGCAGGGGTGGACACAGCGCAGGAGTTAAAAGGTTGCCACCTTGGTCCGAGGGAGAGGTGGTAGTGGCGACAGGGAAAGGTAAGACATTTTAGAGAGATTTATGAGTGAGTCAGGAAGACTTACAGAGCTATCAGGCCAAAGATAAAAAAAGGGAAAATCTCAAAGGAGAAGTCACATGCAGCTTGACTCAGGCCCGATAACAAACACTAATGCTTTTTCTAAACTTATCCCGGGATCCTGGTACCAGACTGAACCTCCAAGCTGGTCTCAGACTGAGGCCCAGGTCACACACTAAAGCCCTGACCTATTCTAAGGTTGAGTCAGGTGCTATCCTCTAATTGACCCTCGCCTGACCTGGGTTAAGTCCAGACCTTTATAACCCGATTCCTCCTCTATCTCCCCTCCCTAACCCCTACTTCTAACCCAGAACACTTTGTTCTGATCAGGCTGGTTTCTTCCCCACATTCATACATCTTTGCTCATGCACAGACTGGCCCAGAGTTCTCCACCTTCTCCTTCCTCAGCTTCCCTGAAGCAAGCTACTCTCCCCTCCCCCAGTCCTGCAGGCTTCCCCGAGCTCTCCTCCTGGTGTCACCAGACCTGGGCCTCCACACCCGAATGGTTGCCATCTGCTGTCCCAGGGGGGACAGCAGCCCAGGCAGATGGGCAGCCAGTGAGTCAATAAATCCTGAGCCCTACTATGTGCCGGATGCTAGGAACAACACAGCTGGATCCTGCCCTCAGGAAGCCATGGCCTGGATAGGGAAGATGGATGTTCAATACACAGCTACATGTGATTAATTAATTACAGGAGAGCAAGGTGCTGTGATGGAGAAACAGAGGGTGCTGCGGGGTCACATGATGGGCGGGGAGACTAACCGGGTTGTAGGCAGCAAAGCTGAGGCTGAGATGTGAAGCTGTCAGAAGAAACAGAGGAAGTTCCAGGTAGAGCCCAGGTGTAGGCCTGGGGCAGGAGGGAGCTTGGGCAGGATCTGAGTGCAAGAAGGGCAAGAGCTAGACTGTGGCCTCAGCCTTCAGGTGAGAAGACACTCCTAGAGCTAATCTATATCTTAGGAGCAATGTGAATTTCTCAAGAGTTTCATGCAGAGGAACAATTCAATCTGATTTATATTTTTTTAAATGCTCTTCTCCCTGCTTCAGGAAAAGTGGATGGGAGCAACAGAGAGGAGCCTGCTTAGCCAGTGTCTTCCTCCACGAACACAATGCAGGGATTGTGTGATTCCTCACGGGCCCTAGGACGAAACTCCTCAAACTGTACCATCTTACAAATGAGGATGGGCACAGGGAAAGCAGCAGCATGCCCAAGCTCACAGAGCTCGCCAGGGGAGATGGCAGGGTGACCCAAGGCAGCCCGACTCCAGGCCTCAGCTCCTGGTCACTGTGGTGAGGAAGCTGCTGCAGAAACCCAGGGAGAGGGAAAAGCTGGTGACAAGGATGGACAGAACCCAGAGAAGGGAAACACTGCTTTGAGGTGAGCACTAATGGCAGAGACAGCAAGCATGGCTCCTGCGGTTCATTAGCGAGGGGGGGAGTGGGGAGTGTGGGGGCAGGGAAAGTGTTCTGATTTTGGACATGATGAGCTCGAGGTGTCCAGGGAGACATCCAATGAACACTGGAGCTGCGAATGAGGTGGGACTGATTATATAACTGGGCCCTACTGCTGGGGATGGATGCAAAGTATGCAGGGGCGGGGGTGGTAGAACAATAACACCTAGGGCATCTAGGTGGGATCAGAGAGCTTAGGGGCCAGCTACCACGTGATGACAGGAAGAAAAGCCAGCAAAGGAGAGCAAGGACGAGCCAGAGAGACGAAGAGGAAAACCATACAGTCATAGAAACCCAGTGAGACGCCTAGGAGCAGTGGGAACCCTATAAAAATGCCAAGAGGCAGAGCAGGATGAGGTCCTAAGTTTAAGGACCTACTCATTGTCCATACTAGGGGCATTGGTCCTTGGTATGGAGGGGCAGGCCCCAATCAGAGCAGGAGGGAGGGAATGTGGGTACAGACAAAAAGACATTTACAGGTTGAAGGGTATGGAGATGAAGTAATTTTCATCTAGGAGATGTTCTCTTCACAGGGCTGACACTTGGGGGCCTGGGAGCCCACTAGCTGGTCCTGTGTGCTCTGTCTTGCACAGGATCAAGGGGCAGATCCTTCTGAGAGAGCCCTGGGCTCTCTAACCTACCTTCTCCTGGTACTGGCGGCGGGAGGAGTCCAGGGACTGGATGAGGGCGGTGGCATGGCCAATGAACATGGCATAGCAGGTGGCACCCACGATCATGCTGAGCATGGTGAGCCAGACGTCAGACATGCCCACGGGCGCCTGCTTCCCATACCCGATGCACAGCATGTGGCTCATGGCCTTGAAGAGGGCGTAGGAGTACTGCTTCCCCCAGGAGTTGTTCTGTGGACAGATGTATGGGTGGACAGAAGGGAGTGGGTGAATGGGCAGAGGTCTCTGAGAAGGAAGGTCCTGCCCACTGGCACTGGAAGATTCTTAACCTCCCCAGTGGTTCCCAGGCTTGCCATTGGCTGAAGTCCTTGGGTGGGGACAGGAAGGCCCATACTGGCAACCTGCAGTGATAGTTATTTCTCCCTTAGGCCTTCCTCTTGCAGTGGGGGGTCACCCTGAGACCAGAAGATCTATCAGCAGGCTGGGAGCCAGCCTAGCCCTGGTCTGACCCCTTAGCCCCAACGGGCAGCCTGCAGTCTCCTGGGTGAGTAGCAAAAGGCTCCAGGCTGAGCCACCCTGCTATCCTTCACTTGGTGACACAGCTCCATCCCCCACCCCCTAACAGCTGCCAAGTGATGCCCACTTCCCCACTGACCTCAATCGTACAACCATCTACACCTCCCCTGGGGGACGGCTCTGCAGACCAAGCTGCAAATTCTGGCCTCCTTTTGTGTAAGCAGAAGTTAAAACTGTGAGTGAACGAGCGTCCTACAGAATGCTGTCCATATCTGCCCACATCTGCTGGGCCTGCTCTCCTCCCACTGCCCCCAACGGTGGACTCTGGTCCAGTGCATGGGGCAGGAGGGAGGGAGGCAGGGAGACTCCTGGTTATTTTTGTCTCCAAAGCCAGTTGGTGTCTCAGGAAGGCTTGATGTGGGCATGCTGGGCTCAGAAGGGCCATCTCCTGAATTCAGTGCCTGTGTAGGCCTGTCACTTCACACAGTGGAAACCGCCCCAGGTGAGGTAGGCCCATGGCCCCATCCCCTCGGTGTCTCTTCTCACAGGGCAGCACATATGCAGAAACCCACCCTGGGAAGAACCTGCAGAGCCCCCGCCCTGGGCCCTAAGCATTTCTGTGGGCACAAGACTGTCCCCAGCACCTGCAGGAAGGAAGGCAAAGGATCCCACAGAACTGCATGTCATGTTCAAGGTCACCATCCTGGACAAGAGCAGAGCTAGTTCCTGGATGCTGGTGGCTCAGTCTAGGCCACATCAGAGTGGGTAGGAGTGATACCCAGGGGAACAGGGCAGCCCCCACCCACCTCCCCTCAGAGCTTCTGCCTCACTGCCAGGCTCTGGGGACCAGGAAATCAATCCGTGTGTGGCAATTCATTTACACTTAGCTCATCAAAAGGCTGTTTTGTAGAGGCCTGTTTAATGCTGAAATCGCCTCAGGGTCTCTTTCACCTCTTCCAAAGCCAGCTTTTCCTCCCCTGGGGCTCTGGGGATTTGCCTTCAGACCAAACCAAACAGACTAGGAAGAAGTCTAGGGGAGACAGGGGTTCCCCAGAGCCAGAGAAAGGCACACAGGGACAAGGTTCCTCCACCCTACTGAAGCCCCCACTGTCCATAGCAGGGTTGAGGGTTCTGCCCTGGAGTCCTGAGTCCAACTTTTCTCATCCACCCCCAGGGTTGGGCTCCGTCCTACCTGCCCTCCCTGCTCAGGACTCTACTGGTGACCAGGGTGTGTGTTTGGGGAGCTAGGGACAACCCAGCTCTGTCCCTAGAGGAGAAAGTGGCCATGTACAATCTGGCAGGTCCGCATGGGCTGCCAACAGTCCTCTTGCAGCCTGCTTTCTCAGGCTCAGTTTGTAGAGGGCAGAATAGGAGAGCAGGACCATCAGCCCAGTTGTGCCATACTGACATATCCAAGGTCTCCCAAGTCAGTGTCCTTGGGTGAAATCAGACCCAATATCAAAGCTCTCAGTGGCAGTAGAGGCTATAAGAAGGTGGCAGCAGGAGCTCACAGCCAAGAGTACTGTGAATGGATTTCTGGCCTGGCAGCAAATGCTTGGGACTGCAGTGGTAGAGCCATGTGCCCTTTGGCACCTGGCTGGGACCTCAGGGGCCTACATGCTAGGACTCAGGGGTTCTGACTTCCTAATCTTCTCTACCCATTTGTGCCTTCAGAGAAGTGACTCCAGCCAGGAAGGCGGGCCAGCTGGGGACACTCACCACCATGTCATTGAGGGACACCCAGCAATCACTGGGGAAGTCCTGCAGCATGGGCACCAGGAACTGCAGGCAGCCGTCCCAGTGGCAGAGCAGGAGCATCATGCCGATGAGGTTCACGATGCGCACCACAGCGCTGGCCAGGTCATAGGTCATGTGGAAGATCTGCCAGCAGAGGGGAGACATTGGCACAGACAATGAGTGGCCAGGAGGCACAGAGGATCCCTCCCATGAGACCCTAGAGCAGCTGAGGCACCACCTGCACCTCCTTCCCAGAGCAGCACAGTGCAGGTTCAGGCCGGGGCAGGGGAGAGAGGGCATCAGGCCAGGCCCCTGAAGAGGCAGAGTGCAGGCTGGAGGGCCCAGGGGGATGTTCCTGGCACCCATGCAGATGTGGGCCCGCCATGGGAGAGGCAGCCATCCAGGTTGCATGAGAGGAAGACACCTGGAGCTCTATGTAGCCTGGGGCATGAGGATGCCAGGGAGAAGCCAGCCTGAGGCGCCTTGAGGACAATGGCCTGGAGTTGGGCCCAAGGCACAATGTGTCCCTAAGCCTGTCCCTGGATTCTCAGGACCCAGCACCAGGCAGTGGGCACTACAGAGACTGCAGAGGGGTAGAACAGACCCATGGGCTCCATGTTACCCAGGCCTGGCTCCCACCCAATTCCTAGCTGTGTGACCTTGTGAAAGTCCTCAGACTTCCCTGATCAGGTTTTCTCATCTGGAAAATGATGATCAAAATTAACTGAGTAGGTTGTCAAAAGAATTAAATTATACATTTAAAGTACTTACTACTGAGTATAGAAGTATTCAATAAATTAGGAGCCATTATGAACAGATAAGTTATTATGAATAATTAATCTTTATGATTAGTTAATAAGTACCAGTGGCAGGGTTCACCTTTATCCTGGAGTAGAGTACAGCGGCACCCTCGACCCCAGCCCACTGAGACCTGCTCATCTGCACCCCAGTGGTCACATGTGGGAGGCTGTAGTGTGGGAGGGCCCAGCATCCCTGCCCTACCTGCGTGACAGGGCGGGGAGGAAATGGAGGGTAGAGGGAAGTCTGGAGGGAGTCTCTGAAGTTCTGGCATTGTTTCTGGCCTTGGAAACTTGGGGGGTACCTCCAGCCACCAGCCCCACATTTTGATCTGACTTTTCTATTCCTAGCCAAATATACCCCTCCTGGAAAGGGGCTTTGGGTCAAAATGCTACAGAGTCCTACCTGAAGCCCATTTTAGAAGGGGAAACTGAGGCCCAGTGAAACAGACTGTAGCTATTCCAGCCATCAGCCTAGAAGTCTCAAGACAGCCAATGCCCCTGGCAGCAGAGACAATGGCCAGTGTGAGGCAGGATGGCAGCTTACTGTACAGCAAGGGCTGAGTACCTAGCTGAGCATCACAGAGGCAGGCCTGGCCCTCTGGTGAAGCATCTAGGACAAGGGGACAGATAGAGAGCCACAAACCACAGGTTTGATATTCCGAGTTGTAAATCAGGCTGAAAACCTGTTAGAGAAGATATGTGCTACGTACACCATGGTAATGCCCTGGAGGGCCAGGCTTGAGACTTTCTGAACACTACACCAGAACATGGCTCACCTCTCTTCCCTTCCCTGACTCTGTCCCACAGTGAGGGACCTCAGCCCACAGCCAAGCTCCGTCCATGCCACCCCTACACACAGCTGCAGAGAGGAGATCTGGGTGTACACAAGAGCAGGAGGGCCCCCCAGGGCACAGACCTGAGAAGGGGCCTGGAGCCATCTCAGTCAGCAATGCTGGGTCCCAGGTTCCCCTGGGAGGCCTGGGAGGAGCTTCAGAGTCCTCACTGTGAGGAGGACATCCTTCTAGAGTGTGGTCCCAGTGGGGCCCTTCTGCCCTGGGTCTCAGGCAGATACCCTGCGAGGGACCCGAATGTCTGCTCTCTGTCCCCAGGAGGCCAGCCCGGGTCAGTGCCTAAGAAAGCCCCTTCATGAGGGGAGCACGCAGGAAAGCTTGCCCCTGCTTGCCTGGAGCTTATAGTCTGGCTGGGGAAGTCAGTCACACCCAGGAAAGGGACTTGAGAACAAGAACAAGGGACCCAGCAACAGAGCAGGGAAAGGTGGGCGGATGGGCAGAGAACTGGATGGGCTCTCAGCTCCCTGCCAGATGTTGCTGTGGGCTGGAGGCCACACACACACCTCCTCTCACCCCTGATGTGCCAAGGTAGCAGCAATTCTCCTGAGGATGTCCTTGGCTGTGGGCACCATTGATCTGGGGCATCCGTGTAAGTACCCTGAGGGGAGTCTCACTGCAAAGGAGCTCTCCAGGATGTCCCCTATCCCACGGGACCCCAAACACAATCGCCAATGCTCCTCCTCACCTTCCTTTTCCTTTCTCTTTAATCCCTGAAATGCCCCAGTTTCTTGTTATGCCCAAGACACAGAGGTAGACAAGAATGACAGATTGGTTCATACATCCAGTTTTCTCCCTTTCTCCAGCTGGACTCACCCAAAGCCTGTTCCTCCCCATCTCGCCACTGGCATCACCATTCATTCAGCTGAGCAGCGAAACCTAACAGCCAGCCTGGATTCCTCCCATTCTCTCCCCCTCCCCACAGCCAGTCCACAACCAGTCTGGGTCCTTCGGGCTCCCCTTGTAATGGAGACATCCCCACTGCGAGCCTAGTGTGGTCCTATGCTAAACACCCCAGATAACTGCCCCAGCCTCCTGATAAGGCTCCCTCCCCTCCAATCCATTCTCAACCAAGCAGCTAGAAAGATCCCTTCAACCTTATCACCACTGCACCTGGGAGTGCACTCCGTCCGAACGGGCGCCTCAGTGTCCTGGTCCCCAATTCCTGCTCGCCCCTCCTCCTCCACTGTGCCCAAGCCCCCCCCCCCCACCATGGATTTTCTCCCCATTAGAGTGGAATTCTCCCTCTAAAATGATAGTGCTCCATGAGCCAGGGGTCTCTTCTGTATTTCTCACTTTGTGTTCCTCCATGCTTGGCAGGGGTAGCCACCAGGAATATGTGTGATTGCCTCAGTACATGCATGCATCGGGAAATGAATGAATGGAGACCACACGGGAGCCAGAAAAAGCCTGGGGCCTTGCCTAGAAAGTGCCCCAGGCTGTCACGGCCTACTGTCACTGCTCCTCTCTATGAATCACTCTGGACTTAAAGACAGAAGCATCAAGGTTGGACTATTTTATTTTGGTTTTTTTGTTTTGTTTTGTTGGTACCGGGGATCAAATTCGGGACCTTGCGCTTGCAAGGCAGGTGACGGCACCACTGAGCTACATGCCCGGCCCAAGGTTGGACGATTTTAGTGCAATGACTTCCTTTCTTTTTGCATCATGTGTTTTTCTTTTCTTCATAGTTCATTTTCCTCCAAGATCAGGTTTTTGCCTAATCTTGCCTTTATTGTGGTCCCAGCCATGGATATGTGAGAGCACATGGTAGGGTCTCAGGAACTGAGAAGCACTTAAAGACAAAGGTGATGGGCATGGAGCTGAGCAGGGCCCCCAGTAGTGTACACGGTGCAGGTAGAAAAGGCCAGGTACTCTGGGCCAATGCAGCCCGCAGGGCAGCCCCCTTTGCCTTTGTGAGAACAGCACCACGGTCTCCTCCAGGAGGACAGACTTGTGCATCCTACAGAGAGCTTAGCTGCCAGCACCTGGGGCTGAGTGACGAAAGACGGTTCTGACACTGCAAAGCCAGAGTAACAGCACGGCCAAGTCTGAGCTTCCTGGGCAGAGCTGGATGGGGACACATCTACCCTGGCTAGGAGGGAACCCTAGCTTGTAAGGACACTCACCCCACCCCATCCTCAACAGCATCCGAGACACGGTTTATAGAGAACAAGGCTGATGTTGCTGGGAGAAACTGCTCGGTAATTGTGTATCCCACCATGGGCTGGGGCCCCAGGCCACCTGCCAGGCAGCTGCCCTGGGCAAATATTTGCCTTGCTCTTTATATTTCATTAAAACCCACTTTTATGATGTTGGTTTTGACTGTGGGGGTTGTGCACCTTCATTGCCAGGCCAGCCCTGGCCTCGCCAGACAAGCAGCTTGGGCAGTTCCCCGTCCTCTGCCTGGTGCTCTAGAGGGCAGCACAGCTTCCACCCGAAGCACCTGCTTTTTCTCTCGGAGTCTCAGTTTATCTGTGAGATGGGTCAGCAACGCCAAACTTGCAGGTCTGCCTTGCAGACCAGATGAAACAATGTCCATAGGTGGCACCCAGCAGGGACTCTGCACATATTGTTCCTTTCCTTCCCTCTCTTTCCCAGCGCTCCAAACACAGGTGATTTCTCCACGCTGAGGAGACACCAGAAACTGGCGGCGAGGCTGACGAGGAGTTCCCACGAAGGCCTCTTCTTGGGACTTGGTTGAGCTGGGTCCCAGGGACTCATTTTCCCCAAGGAAAAGGACAAACATCTACCTGTCTCAGGAACAAGGGTCCACACGGAGGACAGCAGTCCAAGGCCTGGGAATATGGCACAGCCAGGAACCTGAGTCCCATCCTGGGACCTGAGTCCCCCAGGACCTCCCCTCCACCTTCTCCACTTCTCACAGATGCCAACCTCTCCGGTCAGAGAGGGATGGAGAACTCGAGAGCCAGTGGGGAGGGACTGGGCAGAGGCCTTCTTCCCCTAGCCTTCCTGCCATTCTCTTTGCCAGTGCTGAGGGAGGAAGAGGCCTATGGGACAGGGCCCCGGAGTGCTGGGCTCTGAGGGGAACATCGGAAGGAGGCTGCCCAGGGTTTCTAACAATAGCCTGCATGCCTGTACCAAGCTCACACCTCAGGAGGGGAAAGGCTGGCTGGGAGAGGCTCAGGAGGGAGGCTGCTGGCCTAGATGGCACAGGCCGGAGGCAGAGGCTGTGCCCCTCCCAGGGTGGTCTGCTCCCATCCTGGACCACTCCATCCACCCTGCCACCAATGCCTAGGACAGCTTGTGTGGAGATGGCTGACCAGGGGTAAGGAGCCTCAGGAAGCTACAGCTTCACCAGGGACCTTGGAGAAGCTTCCCCTGCACAGGAAGGAGACCCCCACCCCCCATCCCGGGGCATCCTCCTTCAGGCCCTGTCAGCCACAACCATGTCCTCAGGGTGAGCTAAGACCAGGCTCCCTAAGAGACAAGCTGGGAACTGAGCCTCAGGGAGCCACAGCCTCAGAGAACATCAGCACGTCCCTGACTACTGGAGAAATGGCTCAAAGAAGGAAAGACACTCACACAAGTAACTCAAGAGGAGACAAAGCAGGGTTACCTCTTCTCAGTATGTCCCTCTCCAGGTCTCATTGCCTGGAAGGCCCTGCTGCTCCCTCCAGACCCAGCTGAGTCTGGGAGAAGCCCACGGCAACAGGAAGCTATACAGGGCCTGGAGACGGGGCTTCAGGGGCCAGCTGGGAAACCCCAATCCAATCTCAGGGGCCCAGGGGGAGTCTTTTGCTGGGCTGTATGCTGAACAGAAAGCAGCTCAAAGCAATTTCCTCCCCAGCTGGTAGGAGAGATAAGGGTGTACGTGGAGGCAGGAGAGCCATCCATCTGGCCTCCTGGGATCTCCCTTCCTGCCCACAAGATTGGGTACCAATGCCCAGTTCAGAGACATGGCTTGACTTGAGGCCTGCTGGGGACTCTGCCTCCCCCACAAAAAGGTCAGGACTAGAGCTCGCCTAGTCAGCTCTGGGGAGCCCAGAGGGTAGCCAGGCCAGAGGTGCAGTGGGCGAGAACATAGCCCTGGCCTGAGTTCCCAAGATGTAAGGTGCAGAGACAGCCAAAAAAAAAAGCTTAGTTTTGTCCCAGGGCTCGCCCTGCCCAGCCACTGGCAACTCTGTCAGCTACCACATCTGTCCCAGTTCTGCCAGGAGTCCACCCTGTGACCTTGGGCAAGTCACTGCCCCTCTTTGTTGGCAGGAATAATGCAACATTTCCAAGCCAAAGAGAATTTCTGCCCCAGAGCAATTCTGCCAGGCTGGTGTAGGCACTTCTCCTGAGGCATGTGTGTTCACGATGCCTCTGACCTGAATCTGCCAATGCCCCAACCATCAGCCACAGTTGCTGGCAGCCAGGGCCCGGGCCGCTGTAAGGGGGTGGGGAGGGCACTTTGAACCCCAGTCAGGAGCCTTTCTATCTAATCCTGCAGGGATCCCAGAGGCCTGGAGACCAGCAGTGAGCTGCACGGCCCAGCTCACACGCCAAGGTGTCTCACCAAGGACATCTCTTCCCACCCCTGGGCACCCCAGGCTGCCAGATTGGGTAACATGGGTGGGTAGCACAGACAGACCTCAGCACCCAGCAAGGTCACCCATACTTTTTCCTCCCAAAGCCCCAGTGCTCCTCTTTTCCTCCTGCAGACAGACAACTGCTTCAGGCCTTGGATGAGTTAGGGTTGTTCAGAATAGTGCTGGACCACCCATTTCATTTGCTGTTTTTTATTAAGTTTCTGTATCCAGTGCCTACAACCCCTAGGATTGCTTTATGGTTTTTGTGCACACAGCTCCAGGCTCCATGTCTGGATCAGAAGCCTGGCCTGGGCTGCTGGAAGCCGCTTTGGCCTTTAGCACCAAGGCCTGGGAGTGCCCTGGACACTGACAGGGAAGGGGATAGAAGTGCTCCAATCTCTTGCCCTGACTGAGACAATCTTGAGGTATGGGGTACACTGTCCCCAGAGCTCCCTATGGGACTGGGCCCAAGTGCTCTGCATGGGACTCTGCTTAATGTCTCACCCTTTCTCACTCAGCTTCCTATCTTTGTCCATCTTTCTTCCCCACTCCCTTACCAGATTTTCCTGGGAAAGTTTCCCCCAAAATCACTTTCCCTTCTTCTCAGGGTCTGTCCCAGAAGAACACAATTGAAGATAGTTACCAAAAGCACTGGTACGAAACTCCCGATTTCTGCTTTCCGTGATGTATCTGCAGATCTAGCAAGCCTGAGCCCATTCTCGTGCGGCAACAAGTAGCTAGGGCTGAGTAGGGGCTGCTGAGACAGCCGGAAGGTGTGCTCTCCAGCTCTTCCCAGGCTGCCACGCTCCCTGCAGCCCTGGAACTGGCCCTTTTCACACCTTCACTTTCTCCATCGGCCCCAACGGGCTCACGAGTTTACAACCCTCACAATCCAGTGCAGTAGTTACTGGGGCAGCCTCTGGAGTTGATCAGCTCTACATTCTCGGGCTCACCAACTATCAAGTACACGACCTTGTGGAAATCAATTCCAGGGTCTACATGTACCTCTGTGGCACCTTCTGTGGGCGACACAGCCTTGAATGGGAATCCAGGTGTAAGGTGCTCTGTGTAGTACCTAACACGTGATGAGAGGCCAAGCAATGACCACATTTGTTCCCTTGGAGCAGGTTCTGCAATCTGACAGCCCATGTCCAATTATCTGAGATCACCAGAGAGCTTTGATTGGACCACTCACCTCTTCCCACTGGTGAATATATCGAATGAGGCGGGAGAGACGCAGGAGGCGCAGGAGGCTGAGGATCTTGGTAAAGCGGACAATGCGCAGGGCCCGGGCGGTCTTGTAAACCTCAGAGTCAATGCGCGTCTCCACAATGAGGAAGATGTAGTCCACGGGGATGGAGGAGATGAAGTCCACCACAAACCAGCTTTTCAGGTACTTCATTTTAATCCTCTGTGGGTCCAGGATGATCTCTGTGTTGTCCTCAACCACGATTCCTGTGCGGAAGTTGAGGACCAAGTCGATGAGGAAGAAAGTGTCTGATACCACATTGAAGACAATCCAGGGTGTGGTGTTCTCATCCTTGAAGAAGGTGATGCCCACGGGGATGATGATCAGGTTTCCCACCATCAGCAGCAGCATGGTCAGGTCCCAGTAAAATCTGCCCAGAGACAGAGGGGGTCAGTCACCAGGAGAGAGGGGACAGGTTATAGATTAAGGGCGGAAACTCTGAGGGGGAGCTCATGGGAGGGGAGAAGTCTTGGGAGATTCTGAGACACTCAAGGAGGTAGCACATGGGTACCATGAGGAGGCAGAGGTTTCAGATACAGAGAATGACAAAGAAAGGGGCTGTTCATTCACTAAGGACACCTTCTCCCCTGCCCTTCTGTGAGCTCCCCATGTGCTAGGGCTCCTCCATCCATCCCCACCCCCAGTGACAGTCGGGCTGACAAGCCACACAGGGATACCCAGAGACAAGCAAGAGGTTCTTTGGTGACAGCAGCAGCTCACTGCAGCCACCCCAAGCTCGGGCCAGGCTGCCCCGTTCTTCCTGAGGGATTAGCTGTGGCTGGAGACCGGCTGTCCAGCAGACATGCCATGGACCGTGACAGAGAGCAGGGTAAGTCCGGACCAGCAGGTGCCTGGGATGCAGAGCCTTGACTTTAGCTCTGACTTGGTCACCAATATGCTATGTGACACCAAGCAAATGCCTTCCCCATGCTGGGTCTCAGTTTCCCCACTGTGCAATGCATCCTCTTAGTCTGACCTAGCCCTTTCCCACTCTGGCTCTCAGGGATCCCCCTTTCATCAGAAAATATCTGTCACCCTCCCCCAGAGGTTTGCATGCTAAAATAGGTACAGAGGGGCAGAGACAGCATCAAAGGGAAGAAGGGTTGATGGGATGGAAGACTTCAGGCACCAGTGAGGCACCACTCAGTGCAATGAACGGAGACCAGCTTGGACTTCCAGCATCATTTCTCCCAAGGCTTCCAAGCACCTGCAGGTCCTTCCTAAGGGAGGCTGACTTGGGAGGGATCCTCAGGACAAAGACTCTCAGAAGTCAAGCAGTGTGAGGAGGTACAGAGGCAACTCACATGTCTGTGCTGGGTTATCTCTGGCTGGCCCAGAAGGGGACCTTCTGGAGTGTGGAGACGGCACAGGAAGGTACAGTCAAGACCTCCACTCACATCTCGAATGTCTGACCATCCATTCCCAGGGCCTGCCCAAGTACCAGGCATCCCCGGCCTGGCCCCAGGACCATAACTTGCAACGCTGAGCTATTTCCCTCTGCTATTAATTAAGACAGTTACACAGTGACAGATAAAGGTATTAAGTCCGGCAGAAAGAAGCATGTCCTCTCCTGGGTAAATAAACTTTCAGCCATCTTTAATTCTCTACTGCAGAGAAACCAGAAGGAAGGAAATGGGAGATAGATAAGCTCCCTTCAACACTTCAGAGGGTTCCCCGGACACTGAAGTTCCCCTGCCTGAGGAGTTCTGGGTTTACAGAGAAAAGACTTCATAGCAAACTGTTTTCTTTGCTAGGCTCAAAATGGTGCTGTGAGTCAAGGAGAGGCAGGGACTGCTTTCTAAAGGTGGGTGGGACAGCTGTCCCACATCACCCAGCTCAGGGAGGGTGGTTTCCAACTTCCAACAGCTCCTTTGAAAGTCAAGCCCTTTAAGGGCCTCAAGGCAGGGCCTCCTAGGTGCTAAAAGCTTCTCCTTCCAAGACTGCTGCCTAGAGGTCAACTTCAGCCTCTTCCCTGCCCCACAACCCACCCACCCCTTCTCCACCCCCAATACCCATAGCCTGCTGGGAGAACCCAACTAAAGCCTGGGGACACACCAAGCCATCACACCTTCCTGCGGAGAGTACAGCACATCTGCTCCTGAGGCTGGGAGAATGGCTTAGGCTTTGATGAGTGATCTTGGGCTGTGTGCACTCTCCACCCAGCTGCACATAGGTCACACAAAGACAGCTGTGTACACTCACTAAAAGCCCTTCCCAGGCATCCCCATTCACATACAGCATGAAAACACCCCTGTATACACACCACCATATTCCTTTTCATTTAATCTCTTAGGAAAAAGAAAACAAAACAAAACAAAAAAAGCTGTGGCATAGAGAAGCCATGGAGAGCCATGTGGCCCTCTGTATATAAAGCTAATAATACACTCAGGCTAGCAGAGTTTCTAAAATTAACAGATCGGGTGCAAGGCGGCTGGGAATGCTGACTCGGGCGGGCCTGCCACTTCAGCAAGTTTCTACACTTCCCCCAGATCTAGTTCCCTCAATTACAGACCAAATTCAAGACAGTAATTAACAAGAGAATGTTTGCATTTAGTGGTCTTCATAAAACCAAATTACATGAGGCAAAAACACCCATTTCCCTGCATTCTGACTAATTGTCTCAATCTTAAGTTTCCAGATGCTCAAGATATTTCTGGTGCCTAGTCTGGGCTGGGGTCGGAATATTAAAGCATTTTCCCCACAGACACTGTCCTGGGCCAGCACAGAGCTGCTGGGGTGGGGGGGGGGGCGGCATGATCTGTTGAGAAGCAGCACAGGCTCTGGGGCCAGCCAACCTTGGTTCTATTCTGGCTCCATCGTTTACCCCAAGACACTCGAGCTCTTCCAGCTCATCTGCTCAATGGACATAATCACAGTACCCAACTCTTAAAGTTGTCATAAGAGTGAAATGAACTGATATCTTACACGTCCTGGACTATGCTCTGTATTGTGAAATGAGTAAATAAATCATTCAAACCAACAGGTTTGCAGGCAAGAGGTGAGAGAGTGGTAGATTAAACCTTCCAGAGAAGAACCAAAGCAAAGCTTCTACTGGGAGTGTGATTGGAAGGGAACCTATACTGAACAAAGAGAGGCAGTGGAAGAAGGCAGGGGCCACAGTACTAAATGGACTAATTGGACAACAGAACCTATGGACCTCAGCATCCAGATGCCCAGAGCACAGGAAACCCACAGTCGCATCAGAGCATAAAGCTTGGCCAGAAAATACTTCAGGCAGTGGGGCAGAAAACCAGCCCATGCAGCCTAAGCATCTGGAAAGGTGGGTGAGAAGGGTGAGGCTAGGTAAGTACTTCTCAGGTGAAAGGGTGAGGCTTTGGGAGCTGCCCTTGGCCTCATGGACCACATTTCCAGACTCTGCCAGATGGTTGCACAGGCTCTGAAAGCTGTGCTAGGCCAGAGCCCCAAATTTTTTTCAGCACCACGGACAGCGACCGTCGTGGCAGCCAGCCGGGTCTGCAGGTCGAGCCAGGGAAAGTTGGCAGGAGTCTTCTCACTGGCATCCTCAGCTCTGTGGACCCCGCTCATCCCCAATCCTGGTGGTCAGAGCATCTGAAGGGATTTCTAATGTCCCTGGGCTTTTTCACTGGGGCTTCCTTGGTGGCTGAAAATCCTTTATTTACAAAGAGCCTGCACATGGAGGAGCACGGACTCTGCTTTCCATGAATTACTTCACCTAACCGTCACACCAGCATCAAGGCTGCTATTATTTGCATTTTACACATGATGACATCAAGGCTCAAAGTGAAGTGTTTGCCCAAGACCACAGAGTTAATAAGGAGCAGAGGCAGATTCAGAGAACTCTGTGAGACGCAGACTCTGAGCTCTTGGGGTAGTGGGTACTTCCGACTAATAGGAAGCAGACAGTTTCTCAGGCACACAGTGGGGAGGTGGCCCACCAGAGCAAGGCCCAGAAACAGAAGAGGGCACTGCAAAGAGGTTCAGAGCGGACCTCTCTTCCTGGCTCTGGGGCCTTCTCAGGTACCTCCAAAGTGGGAAAGAAGCACACCTCTCAAGGGTTAAGAGCGCTCTGATTACCAGCAGTCAGAAAGTCAGGCATGGTTGCACCCCTGTGGTAGAAGGGAAAACTGAGGTCCACACAGAGGGAAAAGTAGCGTTTCCAAAGCCTCAAGATGGATACGCAATGCTCCCCTACAACTCTACTGCTCCTAAAATCATTCATGATTGAGTCCCATAATCCAGTGTATGCAGCCATCGTGGCAGGTGCCTTGACAGGGAAGAGATGGACAGCCAGACTCAGGCAAGCTGGACTTGGTGAAGGTCTGATTAGAGGGCTTGGTCTCTCCAAAGCCAGAAGACTTTCCTTTGTCCCAGTCCTCCCTAAGCTGACAGGACAGAGCCCTGGTCTGAAGACCCCGACTCTGAAGGCTCAGTGCCAGGACTCTAGAGCTGTTTACTCTCAACCCTGGGCTTCACCTCCTCCTTGGACCAGCAGTCCCACCTAGGCAGGCAGGTGGCACCTCGGCAGGGTGGGGTAGCCAACTGGCAAGTCTCATGTGTAGAAGAAATGAGGGATGGCAAACACCCAAGCAGCCCTTTGCACTGGTATCTGGAATGTTTCATTGTTTGGCCTGAGAGGAAAATCCTCAAGGAAGCCAAGGGAAGAGAAGGCAGGAGGTTGCTGACCCTGAACTCGGAGACTCAAGGACCAAACAGGGCCTTCTCCCACTCTGGGGGCTGACGAGGATGGAAGGGAGGTAAAATGGAGGCCGGAGATGGGAAAGCGCTAGACAGAGATGGCCTCCTTCAGCTTTCTCTTGTCACACAGCCTCACACTTGCCTTTGAGAACATGTGCAGGGAAGTGTGTGCACACATGCGTACACATCCACATGTGTGTTTGTAAGCATTCTCATCTCTGCACCCGTCTTCTTTGGGGCATACATATTTTCTTGCACACTCATTCCGGCACAGATATTATCCCCTGGGAATCCTGACCACTGGAATAGAGAATGTCACTGTTTTGCCATTAAAGCATTTTTATCCTTCCAGATTCATCTGGGGCTCCTCAACCTCTGACCAGCAGAGCTTTGTCCCAGCCTGAGCCCTGGATCCAGCTCTCATAGAACACAGTGGCTCCAGGAAGGCAGGGCCTTGCTTCAGGTGGCCCCTCATCCCTGCATGCTGACTGCAGCCGTGCTTTCTGCCAGGTGAGCAGCACACGCAGCACCGCATCTTTCCCTGCCCCACTGTGCAGATGGCTCTGGCTCAGTAGTCCTTACACCAGACCTGCATCCCCACCTGCCCGTGACATGTGTCCACCTGGAGGGCCTGCTGTCTCCTGCACCTGGTGGGCCCACCATTGTCGTCAAAGCTGAGTGGCACACCTAGTT